ATCTCTGCAGTTTGCTTGCTTACGTGCTGTGTAGTCTGTCTAAGCCCAACATAATAATCATACTATCAGTCTCAACTCTCTCAAACGGTTCCCGCAGTTTGTGGGCTGAGGCATGCCCCGACTACACTTTGGCCTATATCCTCCCTTTAGTCAGTGAGAAGGCTGCGCCGGATCGACAACTTTGACAATGAGCCGGCCGGACCACAACGCCCCATACATTGTCTCTGCCGACAGAGGGGGAGTAGGAGAGAGAGAGAGAGAGAGCAATTCACTGAAAAAAGATATGGGCCGAAAGTTGAGGCAACTAGGATTTGCCGGTGCAATTTTGAGCGCAATATGCTCACGACTGTATGTCAAATTTTGTTAACCTATGTATAATTTTTGAATCTATAACTGTATGATAATCACCTATGAGTCTATAATGATCATAGATTTAAATGATATAATTTGTGCACAGTTAAAAAACTAAAAACCGATCTAGTATTCCTCGATCCTACAACATACTACAAGGAATAGTTCTGTTAACGAATTATTTTAATTAATTTTAGGAAAATACATACGGACTTATAAATTTTTGATTTATAATATGATAAATCAAAATTTAATACGCTCGTACAGAAATTAATGCATATTTTTATATTCTTATTCCATAAAAGAGTTAAGCATACGTACGATGCCACAAGCAACACTAGTGCGGAAGTTATGGAATTCTTACTGTGAACTTTTCAACTAATTAACGTGTACACCAGTGGAATGCGGACCGAACGATGCACTATAGCAGGGGATTTAATTTATCAATGCAAATAGCACAGTAAAAGAAAAGTGAACGGGTGGTTGGCTGGTCTTAAGTCACCTCAATTTTTACGGCCGACAGAAGATATATTTATTTTTGTACAGGAATCTCAGCATAAAAGTCGAAGACTGTCTGATAATCATCGAATGTACAAAAAGGTATCCTCTTTGGGTTCTGCTTTTTCAGGGGTTGACCTCAACTGAAATATTACCACACTTTACAAATGCACCTATAAGCAAATTCTAAGATTTATAGTCACAATTTCTAAGCCTCTGTTTGACTTCGCTTGGGAACCACGCTGGCTAATGGAATTTTATATCTGCAATATTGCAAACGGGCAAGAAATTCAGGTTGCAGTTGATGTGTAAGTTCCGAAAAATCAGCTGGTACTGGCGACGAGCATCAGCCTGAAACAAGTATTCACCGTCACAACAGAAATAATTTTGGAGTTATTTAGGACTCAGACATATCATCTTCATTAGTTCCCCATATTTCCAACCATTGCACTTAAGCACGCTTAACGACCGTATCTATACTCAGGGAGTTTAAAATATGCAAAGAATCATTTTTTCGTTTAATCGTCTGTGCGCTGTTGAGCTGAAGAAAATGAAGTCAATGCCACATTTGTACAAAAGATCTTCAACGTCAAACACTGGAACGTCAGCTATTAATTCTTGAGCCTTCGTGGAAAGGCCATTTAAGAAAAGATCTTTTGCTGCCTAACCAGCCGTACTTTTATTTGCTCTCCTTCATCTAAAGGTGGCCCCATGGTTTACAGAGACATAAAGGAGTTATACAGGAGGGTTACATTTTTACTGTGAGCAAAGGTTTTTCAGTAAAGTTTATCTCAACGGCTAACCGTTTTATCTTCTGAGAGCCTCTTAGCCTGCTCGAAGGTCAGTTGAGCCAAGAGCAGAACGCAAGTGACCTTCTGCCGATGGAAACGACGGGAGGGTCTACGCAGCCTACGGCGGAAAAATAGGCGGAGGTCGACTTTATCCTTCGCATGAATTATTGTCTAAGGCGACTCAAATGGAGAAAGGACTGGATCCAGAATTCTGTAAAGTGTGTCAGTACAAACATTCAAATCCAAACAGGAAAAAGTGAGACTAGTCGAGGGAATTAAGATGTAATAGTAATTCCTTGTATTTTCTGATCGGAACTCATGGAAAAGGGCTATATTTTGGAAAGCGTTTCGTCCACCTGCACTTTTAGTGTAGTAACAACTACCGGACGGTCAGAACCCCTAGTTGCATCTAAAGAGGACACTGACAATGGTTCGCAACCTCTACAGAAAACTATTTGGTGTATCTGCTCCCGGAGCTTAAAATTGACTACCTGATCCCAAATGCCAATATCTACGGCCTCAAGTAAGTTCTCGAACTTTGAAGGACCGAAAAGCGGAAGCCACTGCACTTCAGGGATATTGAAGTCATCTGAAGTCAAGTAGTACTTAACATTTAAGTTAGCTGCGGCATGAAATGCCTGTGAGATACAAAGATCATAGTCTCACTGGCATTGGGTGGACGACAGACACAGCCAACAGGTAAGGAATAGTTTACTTTAAAACAACTCAGAGCCGGCAGTTCTTTCCATCGCGGTAAATTGTGAGTAATCCAACGGCAGAAATGTAAGTGGTTGCTTAACACTGATGCAGCTGCCTACGGTGCGGCCGTCGTGTCAATCATTCTAGATAAGGACATAGCCTAGATTTGAGAGTCCGGAGTCAGTTATGCAGAGTGGTGCTCACGTCTCTGCTACTATAACAGTGTCCGGGCTTTGGACGGAAACCAGGCACTGGAGCAGAGGTATCATATAAAGCGGTGCTCTGGCATTAAAAACGAACAGTTTATGGGGTCATTTCTTTATCTTTCGCAACGGGGCAGCTAGGCTGTCACCGTGACTGCCTTCGACTGCGCCGGCATGGACTGCATTTTGCTGCACTTTACCCTTATGATAAGATATGTGGTAGCCGAAATTGGCCACGAAACCGGCTTATTTGTTCATAATCGTGAAATCGAACGAGAGAAGTCCCCATCGTGCAGATTTTTCGGATGTCGCGGACAATCACCTGAAACGTATTGAATGCCATGCCTTATTGCCACGTCATGGCATGCGTGACAAGGTGTGATAAAATGCGGCGAATGCTGACAGGTTTGCTTTAAAGTGTATTAATTCTTTATTTCGCTGTTTGAATTCTGTCAATATTATTGCCGATTTTTTATCCTATAATTTTGCTACAAGTTCGGTCACATGGTCTTTATCATTCACACCGCATTAGACCATTCCTTAAGACTCCTGCTCGGTCTTCCTTACCGAACTATCAATTTGAATAATACGTGCATCCTCACATATACTACCGTACGGTTAATGAATGGTCTGGTCCTTAGCCAGGCTCTTGAACATATAGCAGACTCTGACCTATTGAACTTTTCTCATTAGCTGAGAAACAATGATATAGATAATTCAGTATATATAAGGGAGATAGGCAGAACCTTTGAAAACCCAATTTACAGATAGATGCTGTCAGATCATGTATGTCGTTCAAAGTCATATATACATTATACAAATCGTTGTTGTCTACCAAATGTATGACCAGCAAATAAAGTAAGACGAAGCCTTCTTTTAACTGCGTCGACGCTTTCAGCAAGAACAACTGAGGAAGGAAGTTTATTCCAGTCTTTAATGATCCGGTGGGAGAGGAAGTTGGCCCGCACTTTTAGTTTGGCATGGTATTTCTTCAGTTTGTACTGATGACCGCGAAGATGTATCGTTCGTGCGAATTCAAAGAAGTCAGCCATCTGATGAGCACAGTCAGCTCCACTGACGAGTTTAAACACCTATCCTCTGTACTGCCTATAATAGACAGAAAAATAAATAAATAAATAAATTTTATATTTTAGGCCCGGAGGGCCTCGTCAT